GCTATGAACAGTTTTGTTTCTTTGTGATACAAACAAATTTAAAGTGTTGTCACAACGTAGGTCTCTTTATACTCATAGATGCGGGCTTTTAGATTCCTAAATGTTTCACCAATATAACTTTTCGTACATTGAAGAATTTTTTCTCACATCTGATGTAGTGTTGGATGTATTTTTCTTCCTAACTATATTTTCGATTTTCTTGGAGTTATTTTCTAAAATTGTTGATATATTGTTGCGGGGTATGATTATACATTTTTTTTTTTTTTTTTTTTGTTTTGTATTCGGACGTATCTAGCGTTTGCAGTGCCTATCTTTTAGACGTGTAGACGTTTTATGCTCATTTGCTAGCACTGAAGATGAAAGGATGTGGTTAGGGAAGAAGTTTATGAACGTTTTTTGTCTTTCTTTTTTCAATATATTTCTCTTCTTCATCCTGGCATTCTGGGCTACATATTCAATGAAAACAAACAACACAAAATTAAGAATACCAGAATTTTCTTTTTCACCTTCAAATTTCATTCTTTGATGAAGCGTGAATAGAAGCTAAACATGTTAGATTTATAAACATTTTTTTTTTTTTTGCTCCTTATCATACATTCTGTCGGATACCAATTCATATTCAATCTATATTTGATCCTAATTCATATATATATATATATATATATATATATATACATGTGTGTGTGTGTGTGCGTGAATGAGTTTGTGTTTCCTTCATTTTGTGAATGTCAATGATAACTCGTTGTGACTTTTGTAATGTCAACGAATACTCATTGTCATTTTCATAATGCTCGTTGTAGTAGAGACTTTGTAATCGCAGATACAACTATAATAGTAACGACGTTGAGCAATACTTGTATCAGACGCCTTCGAATATCACTCGCGCTATCAGTCGCCCGTCTTTGTCCATTGCCGGTACTGATTTTGCAACAACTGAATGTAGCAGGGGTCTATACCTCAACGCTTTACCAGGGGTGCGACCAAGTTGCTTGGCAAGAACAAAAACGGTGGTGATGGAATAGGCAATTATCGTCCTTTGACAAGGTTTAACACAGAGTTGAAGATTTTAACCAAAGTCTTAGCCAGCCGTTTGCAGGCCGTTCTCCCTAGTCTGGTTGGCGCCGAGCAGACGTACAGTGAAGGACAGGACTATTCAGGACAACCTTCATTTATGACGCTTGATCATCGAGCAAGTCGACAATGACACCGCGCTGATCAATTTAGATCAGTCCAAGGCTTTCGATAGGGTTAACCATCGATTTCTGTAGGCTGTCCTTTCTACCACCAGTTTCGGGCCGTCGTTTCGCGCTTGTATCCGACTTCTGTACGCGTCCCCTTATGTGTTGGTCAAAGTGAATGGAGTAAGATCGAGATCTTTCGTACTGTCTCGCTCCATTCATCAATGTTATTCGCTTTCGCCTTGCGATGGAGTTCTTCCTTCGCAAGTTTAAAACGAATCCAGTTCTCCGCAAAGTTTCCCTACCTGGTGCTACCATCTCAGCCAGGTAACTCCTCCTATGCTGACGACTTTTCTGTTCTTGTGTCGAGCAGAACCAAAACTGACTGTCTGCTAAGAAATCAGAGGGTACGAAACGGTGACAGGCGCCAGGATCGACTGCAATATGTCTGTTGGTTTGCGGTTGAGTCCTTGAAAGGAGTTTCTCTTTCAAGATCTTTCCTCTAGACGGACGGGACGGTCAAGATACTCGGCGTCTGGTTCAGTCCCAACCCCTTCTTGAAAATAAATTGGTCGGAGGTGTGGGAAAAGGCCGAGGTTGCAGTTCGTCTGTGGTCCCGGAAGAATCTTTCCTTGAAGGGGAGGGTGAAAGTATGTGCCTCCCACATAAACCTGGTTCTCTTTTACGACTCTCCGTGCTTCGCCACTCTATTGGATTTCGTAAGGCTCTTGTTCTCCTTCGTGTGGGGAGGCAAAGTTTCCAAGGTACGTCTCGAGATCTGTTACCTCTGGGTGTGCCTGCGTTGAGACTCGTCGACATAAACTTCGCATCTCTTACCTGAACCGGATGTATTTGCAATCGGATGAGAATGCCGAAATCTAGTAAAATGACGCACATAAGAACTTCCCATTCCTGAAAAGTGTGCACTCGTGCAAGGAGGAGGCCGGCCATTTACCCCGAGGTGAGTGTTCCTTCTATCACTTGCACTCACGTACCTCTTAAGGACGATGGATGGCCTCTCTGACGTCCAGCCGTTGTCCCATAAGGCATTATATCGGGTGTTAGTGAGGTGGGGCGTTCAGGATGATTAAGATATGCGAGCTCGGTCAGACGAAGTAGAAGGTTCGCTCCAAATGGCCTTGGGCGTCTGGATTGAAATGTCTCACTAATACTGAGGCATCACTCACCTGGCTGTTGATTCGAGAGGCCCTCCGAGTTGGCAAAAAGCTTCTCTCGGCGGTTTTGGGAAAGTCTCCAAACTGCCTTCGCTGCGATGAGGCGGTGGAGACCATTGGTCATGCCTTCTTTCATTGCAGGATCGTAGGTCCGTTATTCGTTGAGGGTATCATGGTTCGTATGCTGCGCGGAAACTTCTTTGACCGCCAGGCCAGTTCAGTTTTTAGCAATGTTGTACCGCCGTTGACTAAGGCTGAGCACTATGTGTTCTTTTGTTCACTAGGGGTTATGCGAGTCGGGACATGGACGACGCGACAGAAGGAATTCCATGGGGACGGGAAGTTTACCTCTTCCCAACTGATCCTGATCTTTAAGCCTCAGCTTAAAGTCAAGATTTGGATGGAAAGGAAACGACTCGATCCATCGGAATTTGGCGAAAAGTTGGATGAGTCTTGCGCGTTTGTGCCGAGTGAAAGGTGTTGACTTAGAGCGGCATTTTGATGCCTGTTAAGCATTAAGGATATTGGGATTGCTGGAGTGAATATTTGCAACCCCACCCAAAATTAGACTTGTTTTTTTACCTTTAATTTTTGTTAGCCAATTTAACTGAGCTAGGGGACGTATACGCATTGGACACTTTTATTTTCCCCCCTTCACTTTCTTTGGTTAATTCCCCCAACTCGTTTGGTGACCAGAGATGTCAGTTCTCTGGTGGATGCGGGACGCGTTTCGTTTTTCAGGTGTGATTATTCGTATTTACTGTTGTTTGTGATTGAATGTGTGTTTCTGTAAGTAATAAGACGAATGAGATGTTTTTAATATTTAAATCCTGCATTAATTTCGTTCAGTTAACTGACGCTTCGTCCACATTTAGTAAATATCTAATACTGTTTTGTTTCTTTAAATAAATCTTGTTTTCCAAGATAAATATTCATTTGGGATTTAAAAAATTTTTTAAGTAGTATTGTATTACTCTCCTCCACAGACAATGAATTGTACATATGGGGACAAGTTAAGATTTTCATAGAGACAATGAGGCATTATGGTGGATGTTGTAAGAATAGTAAGTAAGAAAGCGTTGTTTTAGTGTAAGGAATATTCTTGTATGTTTGGGTCAGTGTTCGTGGCTAGCTAAGTTTAAAGTAAAGACAGAAGACCGTCCTTTTCCTCATTCCCCATTTTTGGCCTTGTGCCACATTTTCTCTATTTTAACGGAAATAAATATCGTTCATCGCTGTAGTAGATGTGAGGCTAATTTTTTAAATTGTTGTTTTATTCCCCTCTCCCCACAGACAATGAATTGTACATATGAGGACTAGTTAGGACTTCATGTGGTTTTTTTTTTTTTTTTTTTGAGGCATTATGGTGGATGAAGTAAGAATGGTAAGTAAGAATGCGTTGTTTTGCTATAAGGAATATTGTGTTATGTTTGGGTCAGTGATTGTGGCTAGCTAAGTTTAAAGTAAAGAAGACCGTCCTTTTTCCCATTCCCTATTTTTGGCCTTGTGCCACATTTTCTGTACATAATGCAAAATAAATATTGCTTTTCGCTGTGGTACCTAGACTACAGAATATTGGTGATTTTTTGAAAACTTTATTATAGTAATTGACATTTTCTTTACCGGTCATAATTTGGCGTTTGTGTTAATAATTCGGATTCTTTCTTTCTTTTTTTTTTCTTTTTTTTTTTTGCTATATCGTGGAAAAACTGTATTGAAAAACAGAGCCAGAACAATTTTTGTTTAAAGTCATCTGAGATACCCCTTTTTCTGCCTTCCGCCAACATGAAGCTAACCCCCAGAAGAGTAACCCGTTGCGACTTCTCTATAACCCTATCATTCGTCCATGCTTTGAATATCGATGACAAATATGGTCCAGTGCTCCTGCTATATGTTTAGAGTATCTTGATAAAACCCAAACAAGAATCATCAATATTATTGGCCCTGAAATAGCACCTCGGCTCTAGACACTTTCCCATTGCTGTTGCTTCCCTGTGCTTTTTCTATAAGTATTTAATTGGAAACTGTTCCAATGAGTTCTTCGTTATAGCAGATGTGGGGCTAGTTTGAAAATTGTTGTTTTATCCCCCCCCTCAGACAATGAATTGTATATATGAGGACTAGTTAGGATTTTCATAGAGACAATGAGGTATTATGGTGGGTGTAGTAAGAAAGGTAAGAATGTCTTGTTTTGGTGTAAGGAATATTGTTGTATGTTTGGGTCAGTATTTGTGGCTAGCTAAGTTTAAAGTATAGAGAGAAGAAGGCCGTTCTTTTTCCCCATTCCTCATTGTTGGCCTTGTGCCACATTTTCTGTACATAATGCAGAATATAGAAGATAATACGATTGCAGTGACTTGTTGAGATGAGTACTGATTCTGTGAAGTGTTGTGTCTTGCCAGACACCACATCACAATATAAAGTATTCTTTTTTTAAAATTTGGATAAATGAATTAATGCCATCCAAAAAGAAGGGATAAAAAGTCTCCTTGATAAATTCTACATTTAATTTTCATGTCTTTAATTCGGATGGAACCATCAAAAGGCGAAAGGGACAGATCTGTCTTTCAGAACCGCATATTATGACGTAAGAAATTCCCAATTGTTGGTGAGACTTTATATACTTCAAGAGCCTTAATGATCCATTGGGATGCGATGCTGTTGAAGACCTTTTTGTAGTCTATCCATGCTACCCTGAGATTTTTGTGCTTTATGTGAGTATTTTCATAAATCGTCCTATTTATAAGCAACTGATCTTTGCAGCCATAGGAGCGACAACCTTTTCTTTCAAAAGGGTATGCACCCATGTGCAAATTCATTGAAACAAAAAGAATAATTCCGTTATTATTTACATTTTTTCGTAATTTTCAAATGAAACATGACCCAGTGCACATGTTAGTACTTTGCATGTACATTCCACGATGTCGTTCCTTGCAGACTGACCACAGATTCTCGAGTGGATTTTAAAAAGAGAAGTTTCCTGGCCAATCTATAGTAATTTGATTTGCTCACTGGTAAGGTTTGCCATTGTTTTCATGCAGTTTTACAATTTTCGTACGCTTCCTTGGAGTAACGTTCATCGCAAACAATAGCCGTAGGACAACTAATCAACAGACAAGACAATAGTGTTTGGGCGTGATAAAAATCTGATGCAATCACGGATGACGCAATATTTTTCAAGGTCAAACATATTTCATCACACACCTCGAAAACAGATTCCTATCACTGCATACCACTCCAAATATCCTAATCTGAGGAAAAAGCTAGGAATCCATTACACCCTGTCACTCCAGTGGGTGTAAAAATGACCGTATTGTGAAAGAAAGGAAACTAAAGCAGTTTTCAATTCATTTTCACTAGGATTTATATTGTATTCTTCCAGATGGCTGTATATTCTGTAGGTTATTATGGAAGTTAAATCTAAAGATTGTTATATTGTAATAAAGTGTCGCTGCGGATTTCGAACACAGATCACCAGAGAGCAACACAGACGATCCCATTTTGAATAAATAGATCACGTGATGGTAAAGGAAATGTATGTATGATAATTGGTGTGGCGTCTAAGGGATCGCTCTCCGAATTACTTCGGAGTGAACATCCCACTTTCCGAATTACTACGGAAGTGTGCTTGTCAAACTCTCTGTCCACGAGCTGAGAGGAACCCAGGCGAGGCTGTGACGGAGGGCAGAGTCTCGTCTGCGGTGGAAGACAGCTACCCGACTACGAGGAATTTTTGCCCGAGCCTACGAGCTCAGATATCCCATAATAAAATTGGCTTTGTGCCGCATCCGGCCAGGTGGGGCAGTTAGTGAATATCTCACTATTCGGATTACTTCAGAAGTGTGCTGGTCAAACTCTCTGCCTCCGGGCAGAGAGGATCCCCAGAAGGGCAGTCTCGTTTCGGGAAACAGCTACCCGACTCTGTTTTTTATGGCGACGACGGGGAATTTTTGGCCCAGCCTATGGGCTCGGATACCCCAAAACAAACTCAGTTATACGGATTACTATTCAGATGACTATTCGGTGGTTACTATTCGAACGAGTATTATCGAGCAAGTACTATTAGCGCGAGTGACATTTAAAGGCGTCTGACACCAGTATTGTTCAACGGCGTTACTATAGTTGTATCTGCGATTACAAAGTCTCTACTACAACGAGCATTACGAAAGTGACAACGAGTATTCGTTGACTTTACAAAAGTGGCAACGAGTGTTCGTTAACATCACAAAAACGATGTTAAAAAAATAAGTGAGAGATCAATAGTTTTTAGGATTTTCGGTTTCATTACATTTTCATAGCAAGTAAGTTACCCTCTGGGAGAAACATTTTCGTGTCGTTGTTGGCTCCAGCATTAATTTCATTAAACAGTTTTGCCATAATAGCATAAATCGCAGAGGAGATGCCAAGCCAGAAGTTTTGAATTTTGTCAATTCCTGATGATTTTCATTTGTAAATGTCGAGTTCACCCCAAGCAAGGCGGTAAAGCCACTAAGACACAATGGGTTATTGAGTTTGAAAGAATTAAAAAAAAAACAGAAACTTTGCTAAGGAGAGGGAACATTAGAAGAGTAATCAACGATTGACATGACATTTAAATGCTTTATATTAAAGTCAAGTGGAAAGTATGGAGCCGGTAGATAGTTTCACAAGCGAGAAGTGCGAGAAAAAACCGTTAGCCTAGAAGTTATGGTTACATCTAGCCAATTTAACTGTAAATTAAGGAGATCTTGATTCTAATCCAGTATTGCACTTAAATTTATAAAGTCTAGGTATCATAGCAAAGAGTTTAATGAACATATTCATAGAAAAGGTACAGGGAAGATTCGCTATGGTAGTGGGAAAGTGACTGAAGGTGAGATGTCAGGTCAAGACCAATAACATTGCAAATGTTTCTTTGGTTTAACAAAGAAAGGAATTGTTAACATCTCCACATCCAAGATTTTAGAGCAGTCTTGCTTCATGTGTTGCTGAAAATTGAATAATTTATTTTAAAAGTGTTGGTGTTAATTTTGCTTACGACTGTTTCTGTACACTTATGATGTTAATGGGTTAGGAGACTTGTTATTGCAGGTAAAATTGTTATCTCTTGTTGAATGGTTTCATTTTTTTTTTTTTATCAGGTTTTAAACGTAATTTTGAACATTATCAAGTTGTCTTATGTTCGTTCATTCATCTGTTTTCCATTCGTTCATTTGTTTTGTTAAGAATTTTATTCTTTCTGATCTGAAATTTTACCTGAGAAAGGTTCTGATATTTTGTCTTCAGAAGATCTCTTTCATTTTGTAGTAGATTTAAATCATTAATTGGATCAAAGAGAATGGATAATATATATCATCAAATAAATAGGTTTGTGGTTATTTTGTTGTTTTGCCCAAAATATGTTTTTTAAGCTTAAATTCAATAGAATTCATTATCAATGCAATAATGAATGTCCATATTTCAAGTATTTTTCTGTTTTAATCTGCACATCTGACCCTTTTTTGTGTCAGATCTGGAATCTTGGTGATTTAAATATAATTTTAGGTCACTGAGATTGCGTCAGAAGAAGCAATAAATAATAATCCAGTAATCCAGTAAATAATAATCCAGTAATCCAGTAAATAATAATCTAATACTGCGCTTAAATTCATAAAGTCTAGGTACCATAGCGAAGAATTACCATGAAAGTATTTATTAAAAAAGGCATATAGAAGCATCTTTAAGTCGGTGGGAAAATTCCTGAAGCCGATATGCCAGGTCAGGACTAATTATATTGCTGATTCTTCTTTGTATTTTATCAAGAATCTGTAAATATATAGCAAGTGTAGTGTATGTTTCATTTCTTTAATTTGAATATATATTATCATCGCTGTTTTTGGATGTTTTACTTATTTGTCCCCCAGATCTTTTAGCCATTGAGCACCCTCATTGTAATATCTGTGATGTTTCCATAAGTTATTCCAGAATATTCTTATTTCTCTTCCCGATGGCGTTTTAAATATTGTAATTATTTGCTTTCCTATTTTTCTGTAAAAGCACTTTGCGTCTGTTTCAAAAAATTTTGTTTTTTTTTTTTACCGTTTCTAGAGTCTATGAAGACGTTGGGCTTCAGCTTGTTCCAGGTATTAAACAAAAAAAATCTGTATGTAAATCGAAAATAGTTCTGATACAATCCCATAAAATGTCTGCAAAGAGTCTTCAGAAGTCGTTATATTTCTCTCTGGCGCGTTCCCTCTGTCTCTGTCTCTCACTCATTCTATCTCTCTCTCTCTCTCTCTCTCTCTCTCTCTCTCTGTCTCTTGCTCTCTCTCTCTCTCTTTGTCGCTGAAAAACACCCATAAATACACTGCCACTCTTTCACAGAAAGAAAGCGATATAAAAGTCAATAGTCACGTTCTGCTATCCAAAGGCGCAAGAAACCGAATCAAGAAAAAAAAAAAAAAGAAAGAAAGAAAGAAAGAAAGAAAGAAACGAAGGAAGGAAAAAATCATGGAAAGGAAGGAAGGAAGGACGGAAAATCATGGAAAAGAAAGAAAGAAAGAAAGAAAGAAAGAAAGAAAGGAAAATCCTAGAAAAGAAGGAAGGAAGGAAGGAAAGGAAGGAAGGAAGGAAGGAAGGAAGGAAGGAAAGACGGAAATTCATGGAAAAGAAAGAAAGAAAGAAAGAAAGAAAGAAAGAAAGAAAGAAAGAAAGAAAGAAAGAAAATCATGGAAAATAAATAAAGAAAAGAAAAGAAAGAAAGAAAGAAAGAACGAAACGAAGGAAGGAAGGAAGGAAGGAAGGAAGGAAAATCATGAAAAAGTAGAAAGAAAGAAAGAAAGAAAGAAAGGAAGGAAAATTATGGGAAGGAAGGAAGGAAGGAAGGAAGGAAGGAAGGAAGGAAGGAAAATCATGGAAAAGTAGAAAAAAAGAAAGAAAGAAAGAAAGAAAGAATGAAGGAAGGAAGGAAGAAAGGAAGGAAAATCATGGAAAGGAAGGAAGGAAGGAAGGAAGGAAGGAAAATCATGGAAAAGTAGAAAAAAAGAAAGAAAGAAAGAAGAAAAGAATGAAGAAGGAAGGGAAGGAAAATCATGGAAGGAAAAGGAAGGAAAAAAATCATGGAAAGGAAGGAAGGAAGGAAGGAAGGAAGGAAGGAAGGAAGGAAAATCATGGAAATGTAGAAAGGAAGGAAGAAAGAAAGAAAGAAACCATGAAAAAGAAAGAATTAGTAGCAGAAAGAAAGAATTAAGAATGCAAAAGAAAAAAAGAAAGAAAGAAAAAAGAAAGAATATAAAAGAAAGAATTAGGAGAGTAAGTTAAATTAAAATAGAAGAAAGAAAGAACAAATGAAAATAATGGAAAAGAAACAATTAGAAAGGAAAATGAAATTCAAAATCAAGAAACAAAGAAAGAAAGTAACAAAGAAACAATGAAGTGTGAAACAAACGCGAAGCAAAGAAATAAATCAATGCGGAAAGGGGAAAAAAACTTTGAAAAAACGAAAATCATTCAAAAATGTCGAAAGAGAAGCGATTAATTCCGTTACACATTCGAAAATGAATTAAAAAAAAAAGGAAAAATAAAGACATTGTGAAAGTTTGAAAGTTAAAAAAAGAAAAAAGAATTTAAAAACCACAAAATTTTTTTTTAAAAAAAAAAAAAAAAAAAAAAGAAATCCACACATAAGCCAAGAAGAAATTAAAAGAATGTGGTGACAGGGGTAGCGAGGAGGGGTCGGGAATCGAAATGTTTGGGTGGGATCAGGATGCAAAAAAAAAAAGAATGGAAAATAAAATGTATTAAAGACACAGCTGCAAGGAAGACGAATTAGGTAAATTTAAAAAAAATCTACACAAAACATCATATATATATATATATATATATATATATATGTATATGTATGTGTGTGTGGATGTATTTGAACACGTGTTTAAAAAGACAAGCAGGAAAAGTGACGCATGACGTCGAAAGAGATTTTTTTTTTCTTACAAATTTTATATAATTTATACTGTTCCAGATGAGGAAGAGACACGGTGCATATTTAACGGATGGGAAAATAAATGTTCCACACTCAAAATACAATATTCAACGCCTTTGTTATTCTAAATACGAGGGGGAGCTGAAAAGTTCTCACTCCAATCCACTTTGTAAAATCTGATCAAATACTATTATTTATTTTTTCTCATGGCGATGGGCTTCTTGATCAGGTTGAGAAGTTATTCAACATGCAAGTTTTTCGAAAATGCAACTATTTTCCCCACCTTTTTTTTTCAGAGATCGAGTCACGGCTTTTCTTACGGAACGCTTATCAAATTATATTTCTGCTTCTTCATTCATCTGTTAGCATGTACGTTACGTCCGGCCAATACCTCACAAATAATGAACAATTCCGTCTTCATCGTGATAAAAAAAAAACAAAAAAAAACGGAAAAGATATATCAGAGACGCTGTTTGGTTTCAGTGAAAGAAAGATTGATTGATTGACTGATTGTCATGACAACGTGATTAAGAACTGTGTGTAAGTCGTCCAGTGCAGCTGTGGCAAGAAATATAAAGGAGAAACAGGCTACCCTTTGCAGGAACACCGTAAGGCGGTAACACGATGACAAATAGAAAAATCAGGCATGGCTGACCATGTATGGAGAGAAAAAGATCACCGCCCTCGTGGGATGAAGCTGAAGTAATAAAAAAAGAACATCACTGGAAAATACGAAAAGTTAAAGAATGCGTGCATATGCTAAGCTACAAAAATCTCTTAAACCGGCCAAGCATGGACATGAATATGATATGGGAACCAGTTGCGCCAATTTTCTGAATAATACGATGGGCTTGCCGTTTTGTTATGAAAGACGTATTTACTACGTTTAGTTCCATACAGTATAAACCAGACAATGTAAATGGATTAGGAAGATTATGTTGCGCCAATTTTCTAACTAATGTGATGAACTTGCCTTTCTTTTAATAAAAATGATGCTTACTACGTTTAGCTTCGTACAGCAAAAATCAGGTGTGGTCAATGGACTAGAAAGATCCTGTTGCGCCAAACTTCCAGCTAAGGTGTTAAGTTTAATTTTCTTATTAAACAAGTGGTTTATCTACGCTTAGCTTCGTAAATTATAAACTAGATGAAAAAAACAGAAAGATTATGCTGCGCCAAATTTCCTAATTAGCGTAATGAGCTTATTATTGTTGTAATAGATATGATCCTTACTAAGCTTATCTAAGTACAAAATACGCCAAATTTGGTACATGGATCAAGAAGATTATTAATTTAAACTAGTCTAGTACATGACACCGTTTACCGTGTGTCAAATATCCCCCAAAAAGCTAACGTCCATAATTTTTGAAGTACGGAAAGCTAAAAAGGACAAAATAAACATTAATCCTATTTTCTTTTTTTCAGTGAAAATACCTAAACTGTTTGGTCGTTTTCGATCGTTCCTGCCATGCAAACAAAAGGCGTAACGCTTATCTCTACGATTAACCACTAACTTTAATCTCCGACTCTGAAAGAAGAGATGATGTAATAAAGTTAAAATTTTCAACTTCCGCTGTTTATGAAAATGTATCGTCTGACATGCACCTAGGAAAAAGCTTTCAAGCGATTATGTCTTATATCACTAAGTTCTTATTTAAAGCTTTTGACAGCATGAAGCTGCAAAAAATCTCGTCTAGAACCACACGAAAATGTAGGTTATGGGTAAATTACGCTGACACACCTGTTCCCATACGATCACCGAAGTTAAGCAAGGTCGATGTTGGTCAGTACCCAGATGGGTTACCGCTTGGGAATACCAGGTGCTGTAAACTTCGATATGGGCTTACGGCCAGACAACGTTCAAATATCGGTCCCCATACGATCGTAGAATTTAAGAAAGGCCGATCCTGCTCAGTATCTAGATGGGTTACCGCTTGGGAATAACAGGTGCTTTAAACATGGATATGGGCTTACGGCCAGATCACGTTAAAACATCGCTTCCCGTACGATCACCGAATATATGCAAGTTTGAGCTTAGTCAGTACCTATATGGGTTACTGCTTGGGAATACCAGGTGATCTAAGATTGGAGATGGGCTTACGGCCAGATCACCTTGAAAATATCGGTTCCCGTACGATCACCGAATTTAAGCAAGGCCGATCCTGGTCATTACTTAGATGGGTTACCGCTTGGGAATACCAATTGCTGTAAACTTGGATATGGGCTTATGTCCAGATCACGTTGAATCATCAGTTCCCGTACGATCACCGAATTTAAGCTCGCTTGATCTTCGTCAGTACCTAGATGGTTTACCGCTTGAGAATAACAGATGCTGTAATCTATGGTAGAAAGAGGTGTCATAAGCAAATTATGGCGATCATACAAATCTTTTCATGATAGCGTCAATGAAAGTGAATAAATTGAATTGAGTACATGTGCTTTGTATTACTATATTACTTGTTCTTATATTGTTCTCATTTTCTTTTTGGTAGGGGGTGACGAGACTTTCGGACCACCTTTTAAAATGAATCTTTTGTAAATATTCCTTGCCAAATTATAAACCTGCGTTTTATAGCAGCAAATCTTATAATTATAATTGGTATTGGAACTGATTATATTACTGGTACCATGTAACCAAGTACTATCTGTTGCATGGTGACTGGGAAAGCATTCTCTCTGGAGTCATTTTTTTAATTGGTTTAACCCCATATAAGGCAGTAAAGCCACTAAGACACAAGAGGTTACAGGTTGTGGAAGAGTTAAGAAAAGTAACATTACTAATGAGCAGGAAGAGGAAAGAGTAAATAGGAAAGTAGATAGCGATTGAAATTACATTTGAATATTTGAAGATTAAAGTTGGTTTGAAAGCATGGAGCCATAAGGAAGTTCTACAAGCAAGGCAGTAAAGCCACTAAGACACAAGGGGTCACAGGGTGTGGAAGAATTGGGAAGAGAAACATTAATAATGAGCGGGAAGAGGAAAGAGTAATTAGGAGGAAAGTAGATAGCGATTGACATTGCATTTAAATTTTTGCAGATTAAAGTTGGCTTGAAAGCATAAAGCCAGAAGTTCTTCAAGCAGTAAAGTCACTAAGACACCAGGGATGACAGGGTGAGGAAGAATTAAGAACAGAAACATTAATAATGAACGGGAAGAGGAAAGAATAATCAGGGGGGGAACCGTACAGGGTGGTCCGAAAGTCTTGTCACTCTTACATAATATTCCTATTTCAGATGGCCGACACAAAAAATGATGGCGTTCATACAGACCTCGATGTGTGATAGCGTCAATGAAAGTGAATAAACTGAATCCAGTCCATATGCCTTGTATTACTGTATTACTTGTTCTTCTATTGTTCTCATTACTTTTTGGTAGGGGGTGACAAGACTTTCGGACCCCACTTTACTACAGTTAAATTTATAAAGTCTAGGTACCATAGAGGAAAGTCCATCAGAACAATTACCATGAAAGTAGTCATAGAAAAGACACATTTCTTCGAAATGTATTTATTAAAAAGGCACATTACCTGCATTCGTTTTTGTTTTTTTTTTCCAAGCCTATAAGCAACCACCTGGGAGCAGATGTGGGAGAGTCTCTCTCAGAGAATGTTGGACGAGAGTGCGGGGCGGTGTAACACAGACTGGACGAGAGTAACTGAAGAATTATTGAATGTATAAAATGTCATTTTTAATATTGAAGATCCAAGTCTTGCGCTATTTATTCACTCATCCATTTCGCTGCAGCCATGTTGTAGCAATCCATCACCTAATGTGATGGAGCTGTCTTTCACATAGCTTCACTACCGATCAGTGGGCGCACTGTGCCGGTCCAAGGCTAACCATTAAGTGGTTAAAATTTTAATAAACCTATCTGGTTAACGCAATGCTTATAGTTATGGTCGGACTGTGTACACCTGAAAGGTGATTCTTTGTTTAGAAAGGCTCTACTATATGTATGGTGTTGAGCACTTTTCTTTCTGGTGTGCATACACGACAGACTCTTTTTAAGGGCTGCTTATTTTTATATATATTTGAAAGCTCTGTCATGGGTGTCTATTTGATATTGCTCACTTTTTAACTCATCGGCGAGATACTTTTTTTTTAATTTATTAGGTAGGGGAGGGCTATAATTGTGCGTTTACGGCTTTATTTTGATCTTGGCCGGATCTGCGCTTCCCACCAGCGGTCTCCCTTGAAGTTTACATGCCTTTATTCAAAACTAATTCACTACCTCACTTTGGGTTTTGCTGAAGCGTTTTATCAAATATTCAAAAATAATAATAATATTAATAACAATGAAATTAAACCTATTGTTGCATAAAGTTCCTTTAAATTTTCAGCCCTTTTTACCTAATCTTACTTACTGGCTAATGGTAATCTTAGAGCTGGCGGATTTTAAATTCGTTGTGGAGTGGTTTCACGATTTGGACAGTTTTCCTGTTACATCTGGTATACCCCTGTGCAAACCGCTTTAGTCTCCTTTCTTTCACCATATGATCAGTTTCAGACCCACTGGAGTGACAGGGTGTAATCGATTTATATTTTTGCCTCAGATTAGGTTATTTGCAGTGGTGTGCAGTAATATGAATCTATTTTCGGGGTGTATGATGAAATTTTTTTGGCCTTGAAAAATATTGCACCATTCGTGATTGCATCAGATTTTCATCAGGCCCAGACACTATTGTCTCATCTGTTGATTAGTTGTCCTATAGCCATTGTCTACGATGGGCTTTACTCTAAGGAAGTGTACAAAAATTGTAACGCTGCACAAACAGGCTGGAAGGCTTAGCAGAGAGCAAATCAAAGTACTATAGACTGGCCCGGAAACTTCTCCAATCGAGAATCTGTGGTCAATCTGCAAGGAACGACTTTGTGGAATAGACATACGAAATACTAACATGTGCGCTAGGTCATATTTCATTGGAAAACATTAATGTCAATAATTATATGTTTATTTTTCTTTAAAAAAATTTACATTTGCTTTATGTTTGTATTTTACTCCTTTGGTAATTGTTTCTGCATTCAATTCGAAAATTGAAGGCTTTTGCTCCAAGAAGAATACGCTTTTCCACACTTTGGCTATAGCAAGGAATACTAATCATGTTTTGTTTTTTGTTGTTTTGTTTTTGTTTTTTTTTTTGCAGGGTGGTTGTAGGCGTTCTGAAAGCAAAGGAAATATTTGTCGCAGATTACTTCCACAACGCAGAGAATAAATCACCGTTAAGTTCAGACTCGAATATCGGGGAGCAGAAAGAAATGCCGAAAACTCGATTCGCAGGTATTATCTCACAAATCCCAATGTACATAACCAGTCAGAAAAATAACTCACTCTCCGACGAACGCTGTAACCAAAATACACCAATTGTCGTCCCCGATTCGAGAACACCAACTGCTTTTATCAGCCGAGCATTTTTTCCATTCGTCGAAAACTGGTCGAGGACGTCCAATTTTTTCACATCAAAATACTTTTACAGCGACTCCTGCGACCGACTTGTTTTTAATTTACATATTCCGTCTTCAACATGACATGCGGAATACGTGCCCATTTTTTTTTTTTTTTTGTAAGTAATTTTCTTTTTCGCCACATTTTCCGTCGTAGGATACACGAGACGCGCTGTCGCTTGGTTTGACGAGTTAAGTCGCCGTTTTCTTCACTATAGTGGTTCAATGTCTGCTGACATACGACCAAAATCCACCTTTCAGGTCGTTGGCGAACTTAAAATAGAATGCCTTAAATTCGGAACAACTCTTTTAATAAATAGAAATTTATTTCATGTTTGGCAAATTTTTGTTCGCCCTGCAATTACAAAAATATAGTGTATTAGTAAATAACACAACCACTTTTGATAAGAAAAGTAATCTCGTATGAAGTTGGGCTGGAAATTTTAAAATTCGACAGGATATTAACTTTTCAAAACCATATGAACCAGATCTATCTATTGATCTAAGGTGGAAATATCAATCCAGACGTGTTACAATTTGTCTATCAAGAGTGTGAGTCACTGTGTAAAATGCTAGTCTCACCAGTAATCGTCATAATCCCAATGAAATAGTATTAATCAAATATATGGCATTGTTGACATCAATCATCTGATATATGAGGAATGCTGAAACGTCAGCAAAAATCAATTTGGCTTAACAAGGAAACCTGAAGTTGTACAAGAACCATGGCACTGTACAGGCCAGTAACCAGGACGGCTGGAGTTCTGTTTCGCCAAGAAAATCGGTTTGTTTTTGCACACCCCGTGAAAATGATGATGGCGTTTTTTCATGTTCAACTACTTAGACGAAGCCCTACTAACTTAAAGACTGCCTTGATTTAAAACACTCTGGTGACTAGCATATATAAAAATATATATATATTTATATATAATTTCTTTGGGGTAGCTATGTATATATCGAGAAACGGGAAAGACCTGTGTACAAAAGAACTATTCGGGCTTTATTTGGTCAGATTTAAGGTTTAAGAAACAGGTAGATTTGTAAAAAAAAATCCTTGAAGAATGGATTACGAAGAAACTTCGATAAAATCGGGGCAAACAAAAAATTGGTATTTAAAGATAAAAGTAATCTTTTTTCATATATATATATATATATATATATATATATATATATATATATATATATATATATATATATATATATATATATATATATATATATATATATATATATATAATATATATATCATATATATATCATATATATTTATATATATATATATATATATATATATTATATATATATATATATATATATATATATATATATGATATATATTATATATATAATATATATATATTAGTATATATATATAATAAATATATGATGTATATAAATATATATTTATTCATAATATATATATATAATATATATATATATATATTATATATATATATATATATATATATATATATATATATATATATATATATATATATATATATATATATATATATATATATATATATATATATATATATATATATATATATATATAAAGCGTTTAACGGATTTCTAATTCATTATTTCATTTTACAATACAGTGAAATAACTTTCCTCATCAATACGATATATATATATATATATGTGTGTGTGTGTGTGTGTGTGTGTGTGTGTTCTTCTTTGCATACAGATATATTACAAAGATATACTCACGCACACTCACACTTACACACACACACACACACAGATACATACAGATTGCAGAA